TCAAATTATATACTGCATGCAGAGTTCTTAGCAGTGTCCTGAAATTACTTAATGTTCAATTTTAGCTATAATTATTAGCTCATTACATACTCTTTTCATCTAATCCCTAACCATCTCCCTAGCGCATTTCAAGCTACCGGTCTCTCTGCAACCCTGACACCATGGCTGTTTAGGTGTCTGTACCTTTACCCAGGTCTAATGAACTCCTGTATTCATCTTTACAAAACCTTGCTCAGCCACCACTCTTCTGTTAGGCCTAACCCTTACCCTTATTCTCATCATCTGAATGAGAATAATAAATGTGGAGTTTAAGATATGTGCTCTAGAAAATCAATTTCTAAAATGGAACATTTCAATGTAATGTCAGGATAATGTAGATGATTACTATGGTTTTGAATAGCTGTGCATACACTTTCAAGGTAGGTGTGGTAGACTAGTTTCCAAAGATGCCCACAATAATACTTCCCACTCCACACGCTCTTCTGCAATGTGATCCATTAAGAACTAGAGTTTACTTCTCCACCCACTTGAATCTAGGCAGGCTCTGTGACTGCTCTAACAGAACATGGCAGGAGTGAAGCTGTTCGAGTTCTAGATGTAGCCAGATTGGCTTCTTCTGCTTCTTGCCTCCTAATACACCTGCCCGTGGGATGCTCCCTCTCAGAAACGAGAACCATGCTGTGAGAAGCCCAGTCACAGGGAGAAGCCATGTGTAGGCCCTCTAGTCAACAGCCTTGGCTGAGCTCCCAGCCAAGAGCCAGTATCAACCACCAGTCATAGGAGTGATGTCCACCTTAGACATCCAGACCAGTCGAGCCTTTTTCAGATGATTGTAGCCCCAGCTACCAACTGATTGCAAGCATGAAAACTACCCACCCAAGCCTAGTCAAACCACAGACCTTTGGGAAATAATAAATTATTGTTTCAAGCCCTTAAATTTTGGGGTGATGTGTTAATGCTGCAATAAATAACTTTAACAGCTAAGTGTATCAGTTATCTACTCTCACAATGCTGCATAACAAACCATGCCAAAACTGTACGGCTCACGATAATAAGCATTTACTATTGCTCACAAGTCTATGGGTCAACCGGGCAGTTCTGCTGATCTGGGCCAGGCTTGGCTGATCTCAGTTTGGCTCGCTCACGCACCTGCAGTTAGTTGGCAGGTTGGCTGGGGGACGGCCAGTGTAGCATTGCCTCATACATGTCTGGCTGTTTGCTGGCTCCTTAGCTAGTGCAGGGCCATGTGTCTCATCATCCAGCAAGCTAGGCTGGGCTTGCTGTCATGGTAGATGGGCACGGTCCTAAGGGACCAGGGCAAGTGCTCAGAACCTCCAGAAATCCACTCAGAACTGGCATACTATGCGTCCTATTGGCCAAAACAAGGCACGAGGCCAGTCCAGATTTAAAGGGTAGATAAACTCAGCCTCTTGGCTAGAAGAGCTGCAGTCACACTGCGAAGGTCACGAATACACACAGGGATAAAAAACTGGGGTACAGTACAATCTACCCCAAATAAATAAAAATCTTACTGTTTTATTGACAGTTTTAGGAAGTAAAAACAAAAACATTTCTAATGTAGCAGGCAATAATTAAATTCTGTTGAATACTA